TTTCTTTCTCTCTCTCTCTCTCTCTCTCTCTTTATTTTTCTTTCTCTCTCTCTCTGTCTCTCTCTCTCTCTCACACACACACACACACACACCAGTGAGCTCTACCGTGGCAGATTTCCAACCCCAAAGACCTAACAATTTAATTTTCCGTCACACAGGGTCCATTTTTTAAATTTTGGGGATCCGACAAGGGTGGGGTGGGGTGGGGCAGCTGTGTCGCCCATTTGCTCTGGAGAAGGGCTGTTGGGTGCCCTGGCAGAGAACCAGTCCTTCCTCCCACAGAGCCTGGCAGGGGGGGATTTAAATCTCTCCCAGGGAGAGCCCAGAATTTAAGATTAGGAGATCCGGGGAAATCCGCCCGCAGGAATCCCCTTTAAATTTGCAGAGCCCGAAAGCTTCCCATCCCGTCCTCTTCTTCTTCTGCCCGGCTCTACCCGAATGGGGTGTCGCTGGTGTGAGAAGCGGGAGGTGTTTGGTGCGTCTTGTGTTGACTCTGTTTTGGCTCCTGGCTCCAGGAAACCGGTCTGTTTGGGATCCACCTGCAGGGATTGCGAGGGATCCCCCCCCCCCCAGCGAAGCTTCACAGGTGGAAGATGTTCAGGTCTTCCCACACTTATAAAAATCACTTCAGCAGAGTTTGTGGGGGGCAAATAGGGTCTCCCCTGCGGGAGGAGGAGGAGGAGCGTGGCTTCAGGTGTGCCCTAGGGCTGCTGCTGCGGTGGCAGTGCGTTGTTGGCACCTGTTTATCCAGCCTTCCCTGGAGCAGAAGCCACACACACACACACACACACAGAGCCTGGACCCCCCCCCCCACTTCCAGAGGCAGAGAAGGGGGGAAGGTAGGGGAAGGGGCAAGCCCTCTGCCAGCCTCCCCTCCCTCCCTCCTCTCCTCCAGCCAGCCCCGGTTTTCTCTCGCGCCAGGAGCCCAGCCGCCCTTCCTGCTATTCCACCAGGTGCTCCAAGGGGGGCGGGAAAGCGGGGGGGGGGGCTGCTCCTAACTCGTCTGCAGGTGACAGGGCCTTGGGGGAGGGGGGGCGTAATTGCCCAATGTGGCACTGGCACGCCTGGGCTGGAGAGGGAGCTGGAAAGGTACCCCCTGCTTTTCCCCTCCCTGGCTCGTCCCCTGGGGGGGCAGCTGGGTGCTTGTTTTCCTCCGCATGGCTTCCCTCCCCCTCTTCCCTCTGCAGCTGGGGAGGCCGGGCACAGCAACTGCGCCAGGCTTCCCTCCCCAGGGGGCACCTGGCTTGCTGGCCTGGCAGGAGGCGGAGGCCCTCGGCCCCCTCCTCTTCCTCCTCCTCACCACCCCTCTGCCCGTCTCCCGCCCTCATTCCTGCCCTCTCCTTGTCAGGTTAGTGGTGGGATCCGGCACGTTCCCCTCTCCAGTGGTGGAGGGAGAGTAATTGCCCCCTCCCTGACCGCTGGCCCTTCTCTTGCAGAGCCTTCCCAGCCCCCGCCATGGGGGACATGAAGACCCCGGATTTTGACGACCTCCTGGCGGCCTTCGACATCCCCGACATCGATACCCCCGACATCGACAGCGGCGAGGCCATCCACCCGGGCCACGAGGAGGCCGAGGCTCCCGTCCGTCCGGTCCCCGCGGAGGCGGCTTCCCCCGAGCACGTCCTGCCGCACGCCGACATCACCACCGTCAGCGTCATCGTCAAGAACACCGTCTGCCCCGAGCAGCTGGAGCCGGCCGACGGGGGCCTCAAGGAGGGCAGCGGCCCCCCGGGGGGCTCCCGCTTGCTGCAAAACGGCTTCGTGGCTGCCGAGGTGCCTCGGGTCTCCCCGGCGGAAGCCGTGACCCCCGCCAACGGAGAGTGCTGGGCCCTGAAGGAGAAGGCCCCCAAGAGCCTGGACCTCTTCTCCCCCTTCAGCCCCCAGCCCGACAAGGACGGGGAGGCGGACCTGATCGACCAGCCGCGGGGATGCCAGGCCAAGGAGCAGGGCCTGGTGGGGGGCCCCATCCCCCCGGCACCCCTCTTGTCCGCTGCCCCCTCCCTGGACCGCCCCGAACCCGTCGAGGAGCGCCTGGGACCCTCACCCCCTCCGGCCTTCCCTCCGGCCTTTGAAACGGGGACCCCTGGCGGGATGGGCCTCTCGCTGAGCCCCCCTCCTCTTCCTCCTCCTCTTCCTCCTCTTCCTCCTCCGGCCGCTGCTCCTCCTCCTCCTCCTCTTCCGGCTCCTCCTGTCATCAAGCAGGAGGCGGACTGCGAGATGCCTTGCCAGAGCTCCAGCCCCCTCGGCCCCCCCAAGCCCGCTTCCTCCTGCTACTCCGCAGAGACGCCCCCCCGGGTGCCCTGGCCCGGCTCCCAGGCGGACCTGGAGGGGGACCTGCCCGACATCAAGCACCCCCTGTGCGGCCCCCGGGAGCAGCTCCTCCAGGGCCCCCCACAGAAGGCCGCCAGTCCTGGGCCCCCAAAGCCCCCCGGGAGTGGCTCCCTGAAGGAAGAGCCAGTGGAAAAGCCCCTGCAGTGCCCGCCGGTCCCTTCCAGTGGGGAGGAAGAGGAGGAGGAAGAGGAGGAGGATGGGGGGGAGCAGAGCCCCAGTTCCTCCCGGCCGCTCAAAGTCAGGATCAAGACCATCAAGACGTCCTCGGGGAGCATCACCCGGACCGTCACGAGGGTCTCGGCGGACGCTGATCCCGCAGCCGCCAAGTTGCCCTCCGATCCAGAGACCTTGGCGGCCGGGGACGCCCTTCTCCCTGCCCTCCTGGCTCAGAAGGAGGAGCCCGCTCCGGAGAGTCCCGGCGCGAAGGTCCCAGCGGCGGCCAGCCCGGCGAAGGTCCCGGCGGCGGCGGAAGCCCCCAAGGTGGTCAGCGTCCAGCTGGGCGACGGCACCAAGCTGAAGGGCACGGTGCTGCCGGTCTCCACCCTCCAGAACGCCAGCAGCGCCATGCTGATGGCGGCCAGCGTGGCCCAGCAGAAGGCGGTGGTGCTGCCCACCAAGGCCCTGGCCAAGAGCATCCTCAGCCTGGTGCCCCAGCCCCTCCCCAAGGCCCCCGAGGTCAGGGGCCCCGCCCCGCCCGCCAGCCAGAAGCTGAACGGCACCACGGTGGTGGTGATGCAGCCGCAGAAGCCCTCGGCCCCCGTGGCCGGCAGCGTCATCTCCCGCAGCCAGTCCAGCCTGGTGGAGGCCTTCAACAAGATCCTCAACAGCAAGAACCTCCTGCCCCCGTACAAGCCCAACCTGCTGCCCCCCGCCGAGGCCAGCCTGGCCCTGCCGCCCCTGGGCTACCGCTGCCTGGAGTGCGGCGACGCCTTCGCCCTGGAGAAGAGCCTGGCGCGGCACTACGACCGGCGCAGCCTGCGGGTGGAGGTGACCTGCAACCACTGCGCCAAGCGCCTGGTCTTCTTCAACAAGTGCAGCCTCCTCCTCCACGCCCGCGAGCACAAGGACAAGGGGCTGGTCATGCAGTGCTCCCACTTGGTCATGCGGCCCATCGCCCTCGACCAGATGGTCGGCCAGCCGGACGTGGCCCCCCTCGTGCCCCTGGCGGGCCCCCTCGGCCAGGCCGGCAAGGCCGCCTCCCCGGCCGGCAGTGCCGTGGAGGTCGGGGTGGCCAACGGAGGCGCCCCCGGCCAGGACCTCCCCGTCCTGCCCCTGGCCGGCACCGAGCACCCGCCGGGGGGCGGCGGCAACTCCTGCCAGTGCCTGGAGTGCCAGGAGCAGTGCAAGGACAAGGCCGCCCTGGCCACCCACTTCCAGCAGGCCGGGAGCCCCACCTCCACGGTAAGCGAGGGGAGGGGGAGG